TGCTTCCTTCTTTCAAGTATCTTCATTCCATGATTCAATATATTCTCTGAATCCATTTCTGCTCCTACAGCCTGAGTTCCTCCAGGGCTTAGGCTTTTGTGAGAATGTGAGTGTGTGTGGCAAATTTCTCTGTTTCCCTCCCCCTGAAGCAGAGGAGCCAAGCTGCAAATGACCTCTCTTATTCCCATCACTCAACTTTTTGAGGAGCAGGGAAATACAGGCAACATTTACAGCCCCGAAACTCAGTGGAATTTTCATTGCAGGTAGATGATCCTGAGTAATACTGTTTTAGTTCAATGCACACCATATATATTTGTCAGTATCTAAATCAGCAGCACAAGAGTGAGACTCAGTATGCACTTAGACTTCACTTATGTATAAGTATCAAAATTGCTTTATGAACTCTGACAGAATAGCAATAGAAGGCCTGTTAAAGATGGAAGAAAACAGTGATTTTTGTAAGGATAATATTTAAAAATTAAAGTATATAAATTGTGAGAAAATATTTATTCTCCAACTTGGAAGATGTTGGCCTCATGTCCTCATTAGCATTTGAAAAGTAGCTAGTCAAATGAAGGTGGGATGTAAGTGCAAAATATTCAAAGATTTTTAAAAGTTTTTAATAATTTAATTAATTTTTAATAATTTTAAAAATGATTTTAGTATCATGAATTTTTAATAATTTTATAATAGCTATATAGCAGAATAATATATTGAGTCTATTGGGCTTAATACATTGTATAAAGATATTCTTAAATGAAAGGCTTTTATGTTCCTTAACCTGGATATTGCAAGTTGTACCCAGTGAAAGCACAAACCTAATTGACATATGGCTGAGTCCTCCACATAAATGCATGACTTGTCAAACTGCAGGCTTCTTCTCTAATTTGGCTCAGACTATTATCTGGATTGAACTGTGCTTCAACTGTAATGATGAGGTCTGAAGGCTGCTACTTTTGAATGTGATCTAACTCAAAAATAAGTTGAGCTTAGAAGTTAAGGTGAAGTCATTAGGGCAGACCCTGATCCAATATGCCTATGTCTTTCTAACAGGAAGACACCGTGTAAGACTCTGGCTCACAATAATTTTTTAAATGGCTGAGGAAGTAGCTAACTGAAGAATCCCTGTTGAACATGCACAAGACCTTGTGCTCAATCTCCTGAGCCATAAAAAGTAAATTGAATTTCTAAATTCCTAAGTATACTATAGTATGTACTGACCCCAATCCAGGAAATCACTCCGTTAATGACTACTTTTAATAATTTCTCCAACATGATAAGACATGTAACACAACAGAGGAGGATGTTTGATCAGAAATACTCTTCTGCACTCCCCAGAATATCATCGGGAATAAAGCCTGAGCAGAGTCCCCTCCTTGGTCAATACCACGGAAGACAGTGGCTATTACCTTCCTATCTACAGACTCCCAAGTTGCATAGAAGAGGTGCTGGGGCCTCTTCTGCTGCATCTTGAGGAGACAAAGCTCCTGTCCTTGGTGGATGTGCTGTGCCTTCACTGGGCAGAGCACTCCTGTGTGCCCCTATGTAGAAAATGCCAGTTCACATGCATGGCCCCTGCTGCCTGTGAGGGTGTGAATCAGGATAAGAAGAGTGCACATAGAGGCGGAAGCCATGCACATTAGCTCCAGGGTCTCTACATGGATTGATAAATTTAGTGTTCAGATTATTTCATGTCATAAATAAGGAAATTCAGGCAGGAATTCCGCCTATTTTCCTGTGCGGTGATGAAGAATGATGGCGACAACCAGAAGTCAAGTTGCACAGTCACTGTGTGCACCAAGCTGCTATCCTATCTACCAGCTACGAATGGTTGGGGTCTGAAATAACAATAATATCCTGAATAATACAAAAAAATAAGTAAGAATAACAGGAAAAAATGGAAAGATAGATATGCTCTGGGAAATACACATAAAATATGGTGTGGTAAACTATGAAAAATGTTATGATAAAGGATACCAAATG